ACAAATTGGACAAGACAAAATTGAAACCAAATTGAAATATAAAAATATAACATTGCCAATTGTCGATTAATGCAATCAATATAATTAGATGCCAGAAAGATCATCAACTGAAGCGGTGTTGTCAAATTACATGCAGCCTAATAGTTATATTATGATTTCTCTGATCAGTTGTGGGAATTTCATGTTGCTAGATTTGCTGTTGTTAGATACAGTACACTATTCATGATATTTATTTTCTACTAGGTCCTAGGCCTACTGGTGGTTTAGCTGACTGGTGCCCTGTACAATCTATATTGGAAGATCTTAAAAACTATTTTTACTAGTGTTAAAGAGGGCGTTACTTAGCCTGGTGAGCGCGCTTTTTGGACAGAAGCATGAGGAGGTCACAGAAATAACAAATTGTACAGTGAATTATAATGCATCGCCGCAGGTCAGGGGTTGTAGTCAGTAGACCGTTCATCACTGTGAGAACTGGCACGAGGCGCCAACGCCCTGTTCGTAAATTTCTATATGGGTCAAGCAAAACAAAAAGGATAGCTGTCAATGGACAACAGTGTCATGTACCTATCGCTCTGCAAGAGGCACCATCGATTAGAGATGAGTCACCAATGAACATTGAAACAGGAATTCAAAAAGAACATCAACCAAGTATGCATTACAAAAGGAAAGAGAAAGAGGTACATGATTGGCAAAGTGTTAGAGACATACTTGTTCCTAGCCTTATTGACAACTGGTCTCCTTGTTTGAACTCTTGTTGTAGTGCCTGTGATCTCCCTTTAAAAGACAAAATATTCCGCTGCTTGGATTGTGGTCCAAATGTGAATTTTTGTGTGTCATGTGTTTCGGTAACCCACCAAAAGTACATTCTGCATATACCCGAAGTATGGAAAGTAAGTAGGCCTAAGCTGTTTACTCATCTGGTTTCAGAACTTGTTAATATCATTGTAATATTTCTGTCATTTTTTTTTCTCTTTGCAATTTGGTACATTGATTTGAACAAAATGAGAGCATCACATAAATATTTATTTGGGTAAAATGCTGAACTCTCTAGTTCTACATGACTGTGTGTACTTCCACCATAATGTGTGTCAGTGGGTTTTATATTTCAGCATCTCCATTAGGTTGACATCATGACAACCTCAATACCTACCTATGACATCATCTACTTTGACCAAGCCAAGCCACTACAGTAGATTTAATTTATGTTTTCTTTTTAGTGTGGAACATTTTTACCATACCTAC